CGTCAAGTCTCTCATAACACCATCTGTGAGGGAATTACTACACCACGTGAGGTCCCTCATAACACCATCTGTGAGGGAATTACTACACCACGTCAGGTCCCTCATAACACCATCTGTGAGGGAATTCGTACACCACGTGATGCCCCTCATAACACCATCTGTGAGGGAGTTACTACACCACGTGAGGCCCCTCGTAACACCATCTATGAGGGAACTACTACACCACGTGAGGCCCCTCATAACACCATCTGTGAGGGAATTACTACACCACATCAGGTCCCTCCTAACACCATCTGGGAGAGAGTTACTACACTACGTTTTGCTGTTCAACACCTACATTAATCTGAATGTTCACTGTATGTTCCTTTACCTTTCTCTAATGAAGGCTTTTGTTAAACCACCAATGTATGTAATAAGTCATTTATGTCCAATGTATATTTTCAGCCTTCGGGCTGCAGAACTTTTTCAATAAACCGTTAATTATTATTATTATTATTATTATTACATACATACATACATACATACATACATATATATATATATATATATATATATATATATATATATATATATATATATATATATATATATATATATATATATATATATATATATATATATATATATATATATATATATTATACAGACGAACAGACAGACAGACAGACAGACCTTATTTAAAGTAACTAACCATAAATAAATACAAAAGTAAAAAAAGATCAAAAGTGAGAAACAATATATGTACCGTATGTTGTGTTGTCAATGGTAAGAGAAACAATTGAGACCCTGCAATTGTGTGTAAATGAGGCAGAAAGTCAGTACAGCAACTTGGGACTTGGTCACAAATTTCGTGATGCCATATGGCAGCAGGGTCTACCATAGACAACACATTGTGCTTTCAGTATCTTCCCAGGCGGTAGTACCTCCCTGTTTGGTAATAAATGTACAGGCTGGTCTTTAGTTCACATACACTGGTTCTAATATGATTTTTTTTCCTTTTATACATTTGCAGGAAAGCAAAGGAGAAGCTCAAGCAGCATCTGGTCAAAAATATAAAACCATCCTGGTGTCCTGTGAGAATGGCCTTCGTATCATAACACTCAATCGTCCAGAGAAGAAAAATGCCATCACTGTTGAAGTAAGCTTTTTTATTCATTACATGCATATGCATCAATCTTCTGAATGATAACTTTAATAACTGTAAATGGTGTGTTATTATCATATTGAGTAGTGTTATAACTGGTAAGTAATAGCTATTAATAGAATATAATTATAGTAGCTCATTCAGAAAAAAGTGACAAGTAAATTATAGGGTTCAGTTTTGTAGTATGTTACTAAAAATGAAGAGCACTATCTGAAAATCTGGTTACTGATTTATATTTAAATATTCTGGAGATGAAGTTCATTGATGTCTGAAGAATGTGTATATACTAAGGGGATCACTGGTATTTAGCATGCATGTAGTAAAATCTGATTCAGGGTTTTGAAAGGAAGAGTGAAGTATGGGATAGTGTGTTGGGATGTAGGAAATTGGTACTCAGGGAAACTAAATATGTATTACGGATGTAGAATGTTACCACACATTATTATTATTGTGGATGGGATTGTAAGAAAGGTGAAAGCTGGAATACTGGAATAGGGTGCAAATTAGTTAAATAGAAATATAGAATGCAATTGGGAAGTGAGTCATTTGCTGTTTGTTGATGGTGTTGTTCTAGACAGCAGTTCCAAAGAAAAGTCTCATATGGTAATGAATGAGTGGAAGAGTGCGATTAAGAGTAAAATGTTGAAAATAAGTAAAACAAGGAGACACGAGTACTTGTCAACTTAAAAAGAGATAGAAAGAAGGAAGTAAGGTATTTCAGATAATTGAAAATGGAAGTGTCAGTGAATGGAACAATGGGTGAGAGATTGAATCATAGAATAGCAGAGGTGCATTAAGGAATATACAGAGAGAGGAAAGTGTGTCAGAAGAAGCAGAGTTGGGGATATAAAGAGGATTTATTGAGCTAACATTAATCTTTGGCAGTGATCCCCAACCTTTTATAAATCTGGGCCACATTTGTCATTGTAAATCTAGTGGAGGGTGCCAAGACTTTGGATCTTCATTCAAGAAAAAAATCTCGTATATACTGTACAGTTAATTGCAGTTTTACACAAGTCTAACTGTTACCAGTTACATGCTTTTTACATTTACTCATGGATCATGCATTCTTAAATATATATGTGGTCCCTCCATTAACGAGCACAATTGGTTTTACAGAGTCACTTGTTAACTGAAAATCTCATTAACTGAATATTAATTCAATGGGATATTGGGTAATTGGTTTCAACTCACAGAATTCCCTTAAATTGAATTAAAAAGTACATACAAAGTACTGTATATCGGTAATATAATTAACAATATGTATTTAGGATGATGTGTGCATGTAAATGAGTAAATGTAAATGAAGAAATTTGCGTATATCTGCCGGAAAATAGAGTTGGAAACCGTGTACTAAAATTTACTACACTTAAGGACTAAAATTTGTATCTCGTGTGCAAAATATATGATGTCTATATTCAAATTATTTGCTGTCTTCCAAGGATTCCAGCAATGCAAGCTTATTCTGCTATTTTAGTCTGTGACATTTTATAAGATAAAAACTTTAAGCCTAAAACTACCTTCACCCTGTTTTGGGAATGCTTCTTGGGGAGGCTTCTTAGCCCAGAACCCCCCATTTTTTTTTTCCAAATCTAATGAAATCTGGGTCCAGATTTTTTTTATTTAAACCAACACTGCACGGTGTATTATCATTATGTTAACTAAATTTCAGAATGACCAATAATTTTAATGTAAAAATGCAAAAATATTCAAAAGCACAACTTTCTCGATGTTTACTCCATTGGAAACAAAGGTAAAAATAGAACCGATTATTGGAGACGAGTCGATTAGCTGATACACGCACCAAAACGTGTTTCTCGTAAGGCTGTCGTTAATAGAATTTGTACTCGTTAATAGAACTGAAAGTCCTTACGGGAAGTAACTCATTAAATGAAATCTCGTAAATTGAACTGCTAGTTAATGGAGGGTCCAGGAAAAAACTCCCCCATCCCAGGAATTTTCCGGAAAATTCCAGCTTTGGGAATGATTTTCTGAGAAAATTTCAATTCCGGCTATCGGAGAGTTCTGGGTTTGAGGGATTCCGGCACATGGACAATAGGAAAGTGGAGCACTGAGTGTTTTTCAGATGATATCACAGAAGTTACGAGTGATTAGATGGCAGTGAGTGAAGGGAGAGTTTTTTTTTAAAGATTTTAAGCTCTTGATTTTGGCCACCTTGCAGTATAGTAAGAAAAGGTGTGTAAGAATTAAGAGATTACATAATTTTGTTCTCAGAAAATGCCCATCTTTGTTGTTTCAGATGTATAATGAGTGGATTGAAGCTCTGAAAGAGGCAGGAGAAGATCCCAATACAGTTATTACTGCCATCACAGGATCTGGAGATTACTATTGCTCAGGAAATGACCTTTCCAATTTCACCAATATTGATCCAAGTAATATGCACCAATATTCCCAGGAATCGGGAAAGCTTTTGAACAGGTGAATATATCTTAACTTGATTTTTTTTAAAACAAAATTGATTTCTTGAACTTACAGGAAAGGGGACTGATAATTATCACAATTAAAAGTGTAGTGGAATCTTTTATACCCTCAGATATATCCAGGAAGCAGCAGATGATGTGAATGACAAGTAATCATGGTGTCAAATGGTTTATGTGGATGTCAGAGCAATAAGAGAGTATGGATAATGGCATATGAAAGGAGAATATTTTTTAGCTCTTGATTCTGGCCACCTTGAAGCATGTTGGAAAAACACTTGTAAGACTAAATAAGAATAAGTTCATTTATTTATACTTTAATCCCAAATTTCAGACAGATTTATTTGGATCATACACATACACTGATTACTCATGCTCATCCTTTGGTAAATAGAAACAAATTTGTTAACATTAAGGAGTGTTTCTGATGTTTTTCCCAAAATTTTGTAACTGGTGCTATATACAGGTTGACCACCAATTTTCCGGCACCCTTGGGACCAGAGCCATTGCTAGACCAGTGGTTTTTCTGGACCATCAGAGGTTTATACACCAGTACCTCATCATTTGCAAGGGATAGGCTCCTGGGACACTCGTGAATGTTGAACTTGGCAAATAACATTCATTAATACTATTATAGTGTACCATAAATTAGGGATTAAAAAAAAATATATATTTATTTAAGCCCTCTAAATACTACACAGGTATGTACGCCCACTAAAAAATTATTCGGCACCCTTACGCCGTAATACAATATGACACGGGTGCCGAATAATTTTTTAGCGGGTGTACAGTGTTAATAAAAAAATAAATTAAATGAGAAGCAAGTAAATGTGGTGTGATGTTAGGGACGTTAACTGGATTGCAATAGCGGTGATGTTTTGCCAGCTGCTTGCCTCTCACAGCCCGTACTGAACCACCACCACTGCACCATCAGCACACATGAACGCGCGCCTGACATGCAACACTGAATGAAACATGCATACATACTGAATATTTGGTTCTCCTTTAACAACTTATAACTGGGAAGAATATATAATTTATCCCATTCATAAGTGTAATATCAACATTATAGAAGCAAAATAATCACTGGGAGCAGTGTTCTGCAGTAACCTGTGTGATCAAGTGCAAACTTTTATTTTTTGCTTATTAATTTTCTTTTTTAGCCCTCATCATGGCTCCTAAATGCAAACCTGATTCAAGTAATAGTAGTGCATCCAAGAAAAGGAAAACAATTAAGATGGAAGTGAAACGATGTAATTAAATGTTCTGAAAAAGGCCAAACGCCCTCAGTGATCAGTATGGTATTGGGCTTCAGCCGCTCAGTGGTCGGAACAATTTTGAAAGAGAGAGAGAAAATTCTTGAAACATGTTAAAGGATCTACACAAATGCAGTCAACTGTGATAACTAAACAAAGAAGTGGATTGTTAATTGAAATGGAAAGATTGTTAGTGATGAGGGTGGAAATCAAAATCAACGGCTTCTGCCTCTAAGTCTAGCCTTGATTCAGGAAAAAATTGAGAAGCTTGCATGCTGACTTGAAGGCTAATCGTGGTGGTGAAAGTGATGGGGAAGATTTTGTTGCTAGTAGGGGCTGGTTTAACCGATTCAAGGCAATGGCAATTTCAAATAACATTAAGGTGTAAGGTGAAGCAGCTAGTGAATTTCCTGCTGCTTTAGCTGAAGTAAATGAAGGAGGAGGCTATTGTGCTGAGCAAGTTTTTAATATTGCTGAGACTGGTTTATTTGTAAAAGGATGCCCGAACGCACATACCTTTCAAAACATGATAAAACAGCACCAGGGCATAAAGCTGCCAAGGAGAGGCTAACCTTACTGATG